AGAGCGTGCGGTGGCGGGGCGGGGAGAGGGGTAGCTGGAGAGGGAAAGAGAGAATCTTATGCCGACTCTGTTTTGGGTGTGGAGCCCAGCATGGGGTTAGATCTCATAACCCTGAGATCACAACCTGAGCTGAAATTAAGAGTTGGATGCTCAACTGACTGAGCCACCCAGGCACCCCTAAGTTATCTTTTAATAATTGACCTGATTACTATTTTTGGCTTTTATTGTGGAAAATTTCAAACAAATATAAAAGTATAATAAAATGAACCCTATGAGTCCATCAGCTAACTTCTGCAGTGATGGTCTTTCTGCTGTTCTTGTTTCATCAATTTTTCTTCACACACAGTTTTGTTGTTCTTGTTTGGTGGGAGTATTTTAAAGCAAATATCAGGGATCATACCTTACCTCTTTTAAATGCTTCAGTATGTGTTTCTAACACATAATGACTTTAAAAATATAATCACAATAACATTATTATACCCCCCAAAATTAACAAATTCTTATTATCTCTTAATACTCAATCCATATTTAGCTTTCCCTAGTTGTCCTCTTTCTCTTTTTCATTTGTTTTTTTTTCTATTTCTTTTTCTTTTTTAAAAACATTTTATTTATTTGACAGAGAGAGAGAGACAGCGAAAGATGGAACACAAGCAGGGGGAGTGGGAGAGGAAGAAGCAGGCCTCCTGCCGAGCAGGGAGCCCAATGTGGGGCTCAATCCCAGGGCCCTGGAATCATGACCTGAGCTGAAGGCAGACGCTTAACAACTGAGCCATCCAGGTGCCCTTCATTTTTTTTTTTCAATCAATATCTAAATAAGGCCTGCACATTGCGTTCAGTTGATATGTCTCTGAAGCCTATTTTAGTCTATGACACTTCCCTCTCTCTTTCCTTACACCATATTTTGGGTGAAGAAACAGGATCTTTTGTCCTCTGGAATTTCCTGATTCTGGATTTGGCTGATTGTATCCATGCAATGTTGTTTGTCTTGTTCCTCTAGCCTCCATATTTTCGAGAAATTGGTGGTTAGATCTAGAAGTTTGATTAGATGTAGGTTCAACTATTTTGGTAAAAGTGTTTCATAGGCAGTGATGTACTTTTATTGTAGTGAAGTACAGAGATGTACTTTTATTGCATCACATATGAAGAAACACAATGCGTGGATGTCCCACAGTTAGTGATGTTAATTTTAAGATTATTCAGTGGATTTTGGTTTTATTGAATGATATATTAGAGAGTTCCCCATGAGTTTGCCACTTAATAGTTAAAGCAGTCATCAACGATTGTTGCCTGATTGGATCAGGAAGCAATCAAGTAGTTTGCCTGACCCATAATTTCTCATTTCCAAAGCTAATAGGTTTTGACCTAATTAGCCACTGCAGTTGCTTTCCAATAAAATTATAGCTTTAAAACTAGGTTAATTAAATGAATTTTTAGAAATCAAAAAACAAATCTCACAGGCACTTAGTGTGTATAAGCTATAGCTTTAGTTGGCATTTTAGTTGTGATAGTTCTCATTCAAAAGGTTCATATTTCTCCCCTCATTTCACCATATACAAAAATTAACTTGAAACAGATTAAAGATTAAATTTAAGAGGTAAAACTATGAAACTCTTTTAATCACTTAAGGGGTAAGGATGCCTGGGTGGTTGGTTAACTGTCCAACTCTTGGTTTTGGTTTAGGTTGTAATCCCATAGTCGTGAGATCAAGCCCCACATTGGCTCATGCTCAGTGTGAGCACTGAGATCTTGAGATCTCCCCCGCTGCCCCTCCTACTCCTGTTCTCTCTCTCTCTCTCTAATAAATAAATAACTCTTAAAAAAAAAAAAAAAACACAGGGGGCACCTGGGTGGCTCAGTTGGTTAAGCCACTGCCTTTGGCTCAGGTCATGATTCCGGAGTCCTGGGATTGAGTCCCGCATCGGGCTCCCAGCTCCGCAGGGAGTCTGCTTCTCCCTCTGACCTTCCCCGCTCTCATGCTCGCTCTCTCTCTCTCTCTCAAATAAATAAATAAAATCTTTTAAAAAAATAAAAAATAAAAAAATTTTTAAAACCACAGGGGGTAAATCTTTATAACCTTGATTTAGGCAATAGTTTCTTACATATGATACAAAAGCACAAGCAATAAAAGAAGAATTAGATAAATTGGACTTAATCAAAATTAAAAACATTTGTGCTACAAAAGATACCATCAAATGAGTGAAAAGGCAACTCACAGGATGGGAGAAAATACTGGCAAATTGTAAACCTGATAAGGGACTTGTATCTAGCATATATAAAGAAATTTTAAAATTCAATAATAAAGAAGAACTAAACCAATTTGAAAATAGGAAAAGGATTTGAATAGACATTTACCCAAAGATATACAAAATGGCCAATAAAGTCATGAAAAGAAACAGAATTATTAATATCACAGAAACATTAGGTAAATGCAAATCAAAACCACAGTGAGGTTTCACTTCACACTCACTAGTATGGTTGTAATCAAAATGACAGATAATAACAAGTCTTGACAAGGATGTGGGGAAATTAGAATCCTTATCTATTGCTGGTAGGAATGTAAAATGGTGCTGGTGAGAATGTAAAATGGTACTGCTGCTTTACAAAGCAGGATGAAAGTTACTCAAAAGGATAAACACATTTAACATATGACCTAGCCATTCTACTCCTAGATATATAACAGAGAAATGAAAACATATGTGCATACAAAAAGTTGTACATAAATGTTCATAGCAACATTGTTCATAATAGCCAAAAGTGGATACAACCCAAATGTCCATCAACCAATGAATGGATGAACAAAAGGTAGTGTGTTTATATACACAAAATGGAATATTATTCAGCTGCAAAGAGGAGTTTAGTATTAGTACTGTTACATGTTATTACATGGATGAAACTTGAAAACATTATGCTAAGTGAAGGAAGCCAATTACAATTCCATCTATAATTTATAATTCCATTTATATGAGATATCTGGAATGGGCAAATTTGTAGGAACAGATGGTAGATTATGGCTGACTATGACTAGGTTGGTGAATTGTGGGGAAGGAACAGAGAACTGAGGAATGACTGCTAATGAGTATATGGTTTCTTTTTGGGCTAATATTCTAAATTTGCTTGTGGTGTTGGTTACAGTATTTACTTTTTTGTTTTGTTTTGTTTTATTGGGATGAAATTAACATATAGTGTTTATATATTTTAAATAAGTGAATTTTATGGTATGTGTATTAGATCTCAATAAAACCTTTTTTTTTTTTTAAACCTTTCAGGATAAAGGCTAAAGCAGTTCATTTTACAGGTGAAGAGAATTGCAAGTACAAAGACTCCCTGGGGCTAAAACAAGGAATGAACAAACGAACAAAAGAAAGAAAGAAAGAGGACACTTGGGTGGCTCAGTGGGTTGAACCTCTGCCTTCAGCTTGGGTCATGATCTCAGGGTCCTGGGATTGAGCCCCGGGCTCTCTGCTCAGCAGGGAGCCTGCTTCTCCCTCTCTCTCTGCCTACTTGTGATCTCTCTCTGTCAAATAAATAAATAAAAATCTTTATTAAAAAAAAAAAAAGAATTCCATGACTGATGGTAGAACAAAATCCCAAGAAATCTGCTGTGCATCACTCTAGAGTCTGAATCAGGACAGTGTACTTTAGGAGGGAAATCAAGCTCTCCCTCTCTCCCCACATATACATAAACATTAGATTATCTGATTTATTTTAAGGCCTTGAGGGGTGTCTATGTGGCTTAGTCATTAAGTGTCTGTCTTTGGCTCAGGTCATGATCCTGGGGACCTAGAATTGAGTCTAGCATCAGGCTCTCTGCTCAGTGGAGAGTCCGCTTCTCTGTCCCCCTGCACCTTTTCCCCTCCCCTGGCTTGTGCTCTCTCTCTCTCTCTCAAATAAGTAAATAAAAATCAAAATTAAAGATTTGGGAGCTGTACATATGTACTTCTAGTGGAGAGTTTTATGATAAACTAGTGATTCCTTCTTAAACAGAGGAAAAATAAGACATTGATTAAATCCAGGGGAAATTTTTAAATTGTAACACAAAAGAAATATTATCATATATACTACATGGCTCAGTATGAGTGTAAATACCAAATAATGGTCTAATCAAATATTATAATAATTGGATGCTAGGAGGATGAGGGGAAGGGAAGTGTATGTGTGCTGGGGAGGAGTTGTAATGGAATTAAATGACCTTTCATAGTAGATGGTTAAGGGATGGTGTTTAAACTGAAAAAGATCAGGCACCTGGGTGGCTCAGTCAGTTAAGAGTCTGCCTTCAGCTGAGGTCATGATTCCAGGGTCCTAGGATTAAGTCCCACATTGGGCTCCTGCTCCTCAGGAAGTGTGCTCCTCCCTCTGCCCCTCCTCTCACTCAATCTCTCTTGCTCTTGTGCTCTCTCTCTCTCCCAGATAAATAAATAAAATCTTAAAAAAATAATAAACTGAAAAAGATCAAGAAATAGCTGAAGAAGCGTGTTCAAATATAAGGACTAAAGTATCAGAAGAAACAACTAAGAATTGAAGGTAGTTGTTTTGGGGAAGCAGAAGTTCAGAGTAGAAGGGTAAGGCCAGCACTGGCTGTTCAATATTATAAGCTTTGTAAAACCATTTGACCTTTTTTTTTTTTTTTTTAGATTTATTTATTTATTTATTTATTTTCGAGAGAGCATGCGTGTGAGCCAGGGGAGGGGCAGAGAAAGAGGGAAAGAATCTCAAGCAGACTCTCCTCTGAGCACAGAGCCCATCAAGGGGCTTGATCTATCGACCCTGAGATCATGACCTGGGCCAAAACCAAAAGTTGGTCACTTAACCAACTGAGCCCCTCAGGAACCCCTAGACTTTCCCCCCAAACTTTCCCAGGTTATTTAATCAAGTTGCTTACAATATACACATTCTTGAGCACACCCCATTGTAGCAACATTGTTATTTTCCAAAATTTTCTGCACTCAACTTAAAAGGTGTTCCTTCCCAAGAAACTGAACTTTTCCATCAAATGCGCTTGCTCAAACAGGAGAATTGGGTTCGTAACATGGATTCATTGCAAACTTTATGTATAAATCACAGTCATCAATAAAGAAGTTCTTTATTCCATCTTCTTTCCTTCTCTCAGGAAGCCGAAGAAATCGCACGTGACCTGCACAAACAAATAATGAAACAAACCAGTCCTTGAATTGGTCCAAAGCATGCCCGTCTGTATGGTTGGGCAGCCGCATGTTCTCAGCTATGGGGCTGAGGGCAGTGTGAGTGATGAGCCAGTTCAGATGACAATGATCATCGCTGGATTCTGCTTTTCCAGGTGGCAAAAACTCCATTTTAAAAACTGGATTATCAAGGTGGCCAGCAATTATAAAGCAGAAGCTTTCAGACATTGTCTTCAACCGAGCTCCGGCGGCGGAACAGTCAGTCAGTGTCCACCGCAGACCCGGGCTGGGCAGCCTCTGCTGGAACTCCCTGAAAACCATTTGACTTTTGTAACCTGTGTGTGTGTGTGTGTGTGTGTGTGTGTCTATGTCTGTGTGTAGAGTGTTGGTGGAATACACAGTACTAAATAAAATGGCTGATTTTTTGCTTTTTGGCTTTCTTTTTTATCAAGGCATCCCTACCCTAGGCAACATAAATTGTAAGATCACAGTGTATCTTGCTTAAATTAAATTTTAGCCCTTGGGTTGGGAGCTTCCTTAGGCTTCTATGTATAATAGGGACAATACCCTAGCATAATTTCATTAGTAGCACTTTTGCAAACTTTTACAACTTGATTATATATGTTGCTACCTCAACTCCACTACTTACTGTTGATTCTTACAGTCTTCTTTTTCCAAGTTTAATTTTCTATCCTTGAGGCTTGCTGGCTGACTGGTACACAAGCACTCTTTTATTGCATAAATTTTATTATAAGTTGCATAAAAGATCTATACTATAATAAGAGGTATATTGCATAAGTAACATATATAAAACTAAACATATATCCACTATAATGTGTATGATAAAACTGTGTCTGTGGGGTATATTACAAAATGATATTTAATTTTAGTGAAGATTATTAGAGGTTTTTTAGTAAAAAATAATGTGGATACCCTCCATTACTGAAAGAAACAATGCAAAGTCTATTAACCCAGTTAGTTTTAAAAAGAACACGGATTTTAGGGGCACCTGGATGGCTCAGTGGGTTGGGTCTCTGCCTTCGGCTCAGGGTCTTGGGATCGAGCCCCACATCGGGCTCTCTGCTCAGCAGGGAGCCTGCTTCCCTCTCTCTCTGCCTGCCTCTCTGCCTACTTGTGATCTCTTTCTGTCAAATAAATTAAAAAAAAAAAGATTTTAAAATACACACATAATGGTATATATTTTCTATGCCCTTACTTAGGTATGTAAATATATGTTAAGAGGATAAACTGATATCCTCTTGGGAGAGTACAGAATTTGAAAGGGATCAAAAAGGACTTACCTTAACTAAAATATTCTAGTTTTTCTTTAAAACAGGGAGGATGTTTTCACATACTTCCCATGTAATTAAAACTTAATGTTTACAAGATAGATGTAATTTAAAATAAATTTTATTAAGGTAAAATATACATGCAAAAAAGTACACATGGAGTGACTGGGTGGCTCAGTGGGTTAAGCCTCTGCCTTCAGCTCAGGTCATGATCTCAGGGTCCTGGGATCGAGCCCAGCATCAGGCTCTCTGCTCAGCGGGGAGCCTGCTTCCCCCTCGCTCTCTGCCTGCCTGTCTGCCTACTTGTGATCTCTGTTTGTCAAATAAATAAATAAAATATTTTTTAAAAAAGTACACAAATGGCACTTTTATATTCAAGACGTTTTTACTAAGTGAACACAGCTACATAATCACACTGAGGTCAAGAAGTACGACATTACAAGTACCCCAGAAGATGGTCACACCTTCTCTAATCACTGTCCCACCTCTCCATCCGAAAGGAAAACATTATCCAGCTTCTAACAACAAAGACTAATGTTGCCCATTTTTTATTTTGTATAAATGGAATCATTACTATATATATATATATATTTTTTTTTTTTTTTGGTCTCATTTGCTCAACATAGTGTTGTAAGATTCATTCATTCTTGTTGTTTCCTGAGGCTGTCATTGCACTCAGAATTTGATGATAAGCAGATTACTTTTTAATAAGGGTTTAGTGCCCCTAAACAGTTTTTTGAAAACAACTAAGTAGGCTTGAGTTTCACTTTTCAAATGAGTTAGGGGGAAAATCATGCCTGACAACACCACCAACCATCAATGTGTAAGCTCCTGACCTCCAAGGGATCTGTCATCACCAAAAGAAAAGGAAATGATCAGAACAGCAGAAGTTTTCATTTAAGAGTCATTTGAATTATCTAGATGAAATGCATAAAATTTGATTAAATTCAGAATTTATGTATGTTTAACCTAAATAAGATATTCAGTTACTTTGACATTGTGATTAAAATCTGACGGAATAACTTGCTACCGAAAAGGAACATGAAGTGTGCGGGGGCAGTGATCAATTTAAATCTCTAATGAAGGATTAAAAAGGGATATGTTCCACGGCCAAATCCCCCAACAGCAGTGTGAGGAACAGCATGGAGCTTTTGTCACAAGCTGTTTCAGGCCTCGAAGCTTAACAAACAAGTCTAAAATAAAAATATGTGAGTTTATAGGCATGAAAATAGAACCTAGTTAAGCCTAAGCCTGGGCGCTGCCTCTTCCATTGGCCTGGATGCTTAAGATCTGTTTCCTCTGCTTCTCAGGTTTACTTCTTATGTGTGTTATGGTCTTCATGAGTCTAGCTGAGATCTTCACCTACAACTCCCAGATGAAGCCGTCAACCCTCCTCAAACTCCGATTCATCAGCCGACCTGGCTTTCAAATAAGGTGTAGACCGCAAGAGGACTGAGCAGGGAGTTAACTCTCTTTTCTCCACAGCTAATGCAGCATAGCAACAGAGTTTGGTGGTTTCCAACCTTTCCAGCAGGAGATCCCACACTTTGCTGCTCACCTTTGGCTGCTGCTCTGAACCGTTGTCAGGCACAGTACATATTCTCTGTGATCAGCATGCACAGGTCGGCTGCGTGTCCCAGTAACTGTTGTGGCACACCCTGAAATCATCAGTATCATTGTTTTGAAATAACAGTGTCACTGTTCTCTTGCAGGATATAAAAAATAGTTTTCAGATACCTGTGACTACCTTCCGATTTGTTACCACCCCCTCTTAGGGTAAAGATGAGTGGCCTGGGGTGCACAGGTGACCCATGAATTAGAAGGCCTGCATTCTCGTCTCCACTTTAAAAACACCTAGCTTCGTGATCCTGGTCAGACTTTCTAAACTTCTCTTACTTTATACATTTCTGTTTGTTTCTTACCCCAAATAAATGCATTACTCTTTCAATTTATAAAGAGTAGTATCATTTTATAACACACAGTTATAACATTGAAATTTATGTTCCCTTATATTTTTCCATTGGTGACATTATGATTTTTTTTAAAGATGTTATTTATTTGATGAGAGAGACAGCGAGAGAGGGAACACAAGCAGAAGAGGGAGAAGCAGGCTCCCTGCTGCAGGGAGCCTGATGTGAACGAGACTCGATCCCAGGACACTGGGATCATGACCTGAGCCAAAGGCAGACACTTAACCAACTGAGCCACGCAGGCGCCCCTCACTGGTGATATTCTAAGTAGGGTGAGCACTATATGTTCCTCGTATACTTGTTCCTCATACACTTGTCCCTTCCTCATTCTCCTTCCCTTGCTGCCTTTTTCTCCTCAATTAGCAGAATAAGATTCTCCATATTCACCCCATGACCTGTATTAACATTTCTAGACGTGTGATCACGTCTTCGTATTTGTTCAGGTAAATGTAATAATTGACACATTACACTTGAATTGAATTCTCTGTAAATTATAAATGCAGTGTGCTGGTGCCTGAAAAAATGTTGTCAATGACAGACTGGGTCAGCCGCAGTGGCAAAGAAGCCTAACTAGGCTGAAGTAGACTAACTCACATTGTAGACCTATCATATAATTTTGGTAACATGGCACCTTCACTTACCACCTAGTACAGAGAACTTGAGTTTCCTTTCGAATATCTAGATTAGATTTTTATCTTGGAATGTGAAGTTGCTCAAGAGACTGACCTGTTCAAACCTGTTTGGGCGTTCTTAAGGACGAACAATTACGCTATACTCTGGTTAAGATTTTAGACTTTCCGTTGTTGATTTAGTCTGACAATCCAAAAAATGTAGAAAAAGCTTCTGTTAAACATTATAGATGGTTTTGTAAATTTTGAGGACCTCAAGAAAAAGAGTCTACTAGGGATTTGCTAGTATCAATTTTGTACAACTTACAGGTACAATCTATTACTCATTTAGGAAGCATGACATGAGATCACTAAGCATGTTATAGCATAACACTATTTCTGAAAATGAACACTAGTCCATTTGTGGAAGGTTAAGAGGAATCTAAATAAAGTAAGCTCTAAAGAAAATAATAAAGTCTCCATCTTTGTAGGAACAGTGTCTGGCTCTTTACTGGGCAACTTGTTTCTGTCACACGCTATCTAAGCCCTCTTAATATATTATCTAACTTAACTGAATTCTCACATCATTCTTACGAGGTAAGTACTAGTACCACTATTTTACAGGTAAGAGAAGTGAGACTGAGAGGTTAATAGCTACTAAAGCCTCACACCTGGTAAGGACACCAGAATTCAAAGCCAAGTTTGTCTGATTTGAAGTCTGAGTTCTTTCCATGATAAAATACTGCTGCTGTTTTTCATTCTGTGCTTTTGTTTTGTTTTAGCTAATAGTTAATCATATAAATACTACATGAACTCATTCTTCTTTTAACATATGGTGCAATATAGATGCCCTTGAAGTCCCTCATTAAACTCATCATTAATCCCAGTTCCCTCTCAGCTTCCTCAGAAGTAACACTGCTTTAAGTTTTGGAAGATCCTAAGAGATCATTCTTAGAATATCCATTAGATACACAGGAAAAGATATTCAACATCATTAGTCATAATGGGAACACAAATTAAAATCACAATTAAGTACTGCTACACACCTATTAGACTATTTAGTGACTAAAAAAAAAAATAGTGATAACATCAAATGCTGGTAAAAATACAGAAACTGGATCTTTCAGACATTGCAGATCAGAATATAAAGTGAAATACTCAGTCTAGAAAATATGTCTGTCAATTCCTTATGAAACTAAGCATCACTTACCCACAACCCAGCAATTGTTTTTTGTTTTTGTTTTTGTTGCTTAAAGATTTTATTTATTTATTTGACAGAGAGAGAGTTAGATCACAAGTAGATGGAGAGGCAAGCAGAGAGGGCAAAGCAAGCTCCCTGCCGAGCAAAGAGCCCAATGTGG